AGCTTACCAACATTACCTAACTCCTTAACGGAACTTGATTGCTCTGATACTCCCATAACTATCCTACCAACTTTACCAAAATCCTTAACAGTACTCAACTGTTATATTACTAAATTAAATAGCTTGCCAACATTATCCAATTCCTTAACGGAACTTAATTGCTCTTATACTAAAATAACTATCCTACCAATTTTACCCAACTCCTTAACTAAACTTGATTGTTCTGTTACTTCAATAACCACCCTACCAACATTACCCTACTCCTTAACGGAACTCTTTTGTCATAGCACTAAAATAAATAGCTTTCCAACTTTACCCGACTCCTTAACGGTACTCAGATGTTCTTGGACTAAAATAAATAGCTTACCAACTTTACCCAACTCCCTAACATTTCTTGATTGTTCTGATACTCATTTATATAGCTTACCGACATTATCCAACTCCTTAACGGAACTTTACTGTGGCGATACACTAATAATTTGCTTACCAAATTTACCCGATTCCCTAACAAGGATCAAACCTAAATTTTTAAAAACTCAATATTCGATATAACTTCTTAATTTTCAAGTTTCTTTTGAGGCGAAAGATATTCTAAGCTTTCACATAAAGCTCTGATTATTTATATAATTTTTTATTTAAAATAAAATTAAATATATTTTGAATTTTGTAAATATTTTAATGGAATGGAATGGAAATATCAATCATTTAATTAGCTTATAATTTAAGGTTCTGGCGATTTATTTTGGTAATACATTAATCAATATAACTTCTTTATTCAAAAAAGCTTGCTTCTCTCACGAAACTAACTCATTCGTTCATTCGGATAAATCGTAGTCGAAAGTTATATTTACTTCAGAATATATATATAAAAATAAATAATATAAAATGAAAATATAATAGAAAATATTAAAAAGGAAAATATGAAAATGATAATATAAAAAATGAGATCAAGTTAATCGGACGGGGTAACAACATTAGTTCTATTTATTGTAATATTTAAGAATAAAAAATTTATTAAACTAAGTTGACAAGAACTATTTACTCATTACTTTATTTATTATGAAATTAATAGTAATGTAAAATTCTGTTGGTCCATATGATGTTAAATTGACTTCTAGAACAGCTATCCATATTAACATATTTTCACCGAAAAATTTGTTAAAAACATCAAAGATTATTACTTCGTTATAACATGAATCTAAAGGTCGTTTAAAAGGTTTTTCCAATTATAAATCGGTGGATAATTCCATCCTTTGTTGACGCATTTTAATTATTTGTTAATTAATGAATTTTTTTTTTTACGATATTATGACCAAAACATTAAGATAATTGAGATACTAAAAAGATAAAATTTGAGTTAAAATTCTTATTTAAGAAGTAAAAAAATTATGCTTATTTAAGCAATTGGAAAAAATAAATGAGGAAGTGATAAATAATGTAAAGTTCCAACCTTTCGTCGAATGTGGTTCAATTTGTACTTTGAATTAGTAGAATTATTAGCATAATGTGGCGTAACTTTATTATATGGATTATAGATATTATGCAAAATAGTTCATTGTGTCGAACGAAAGATTGCTCTACAATCTAATCATCGGATCTTAGATAAGATTAGCCAACATGCCAACATTTTGTTCAAGTGTCCGAGCATTATGGAAAAATAGCTATGAAATTGTGATCATTCGCCTGCGCTATTTTCCAATAGGTCTGTTCATTTCAGATTGTTCGAATTTCAAATGAGTTTGTGTGACCTTATCAGTGATCCGACTTTGAGAACTAAAAAAATAATTCAAGGACACATTTCGAGCGCTGCGCCCTGAAGGGAACCAAAAAAATACGGATTAAGAGAACAAAATGGGAAATGTTTTAATTGCAAAAGGAAAGACAAGCAGCCAACAATATATAATTTATACAATACGTTTATATCGTAATCATGTTTATCAAAAAATAAACACTCTAGCGAAATTTTGTTTTATAATTATTTAAATGTGTCAGCAAAGACAACAAAAAAAAGAAGAGGTGGCAAATAAATATGGGGGGAAAGGGTAAATACTATAATCAAAGTTACGTAGATACCTGGAAGATCAAGATTCATTGTTTAGGCCATTGATTAGAGAGGATAAAAGGGTTTCAAAAAGAATACTTGGTGGATCAAATTAAGGTTCTAAGAACCCAAATGATATTATAATAATGTTATGTTTACAAATTTTAATCACGTAATGTTCTTTTATGTTATATTTTATTAATATTAGCAAATTAATCAATAAAACTTCATAAGGTAATCGAACTTGTTCCATTTTCGCATTATTAAAATTATTTTTACGTTTCATGGATCTGACTTGACAATAAAAATTAAATTTTAAATTTTCTAATCCTTTCAAATTAATTTTTAATACATTATTCATTCTTACGGTATTTAAATTATAAATTGGTACTTCATGCTAAGTCTTTCAAATGTCATTACAGTAGAAATAAAGGCGAGGTAGTAACACAAGTATTCATTTTACTCAACTAATACAAGTTACCAAAGATTTGATCATTTTATGAATTTTAGAAAGTGAGTATTTCATTTAATTAAATCTATGAAAACTTCATGATTAATTTTATAACTAATACAATAACTACTTAATACATCTTGTCATCTAAAAAATATAGTGGCTCTTAAAATTCAGGACTGTAGAAATTTTCTTTTGATTATATAATAATTATAATAATAATCATAATCGGCTAGATTAACTTTAATAATTGTAATAGTCGAAAATAAACAACTAAAAAGAAATAAAAGATTAATGAATCTTAAAGATATTACAAAACAATTCCTTTTACAAGCTCCTGAGAAATAAATTTTTTAGTTGAGTCTAATAATACATGAAAATAAACATAATATTAAATAAAAGTTAAATAAATATGGATTTTTGTTATCCATTTTATTGCGAGAAGAAATATATTCAAAAAATTCGTTAGTGGATTTATAATCCATCCTTATTTTCGTAAATATCTAAATGCGTAATTTCATAATTTAAACTATATATTAAATGTTAAGTTTTCATTACTTTTATTTAATTTCCATAATAAAAACATATGATCTTAAAGTAAATAATTTTACAAATTATCTATTGTAAAAAATAATTAATGTAATCGTGGCTAATGTTGTGGGCGAAACTGAAACCTAATTTCTGGCGAAACTATCGAAACTTGACTAAACTAGTTTCGTCATTCATGCAAATTCCGAAACCTGACGAAACATCCGAAATCTGATGAAACCTTCAAAAATAACGAAACCTCCGAAACAATTATATTTATATATTAAATTTAATCACAATAATTGTAATATTTATTTAAAACTTTATTTATAAAATGAAAAAATTTTAATAGATGTCAATTTACATTTAACCAATGTGTCCAAAAAGTTATACTAATTACAAATAAGCTTCAACTGCTAATTTAGGATCCCAATCCTCATCAATTTCCTCTTGATTTATTTTATCATTATTGGCTTCCTCTTCCAAATTAATATCTGAATCTTCAATAAATTCATCAAGACCTTCTAAAAATTCTGGTGCATTAAGATCTAAAATATTATCTAAATAAATGTTGTTTTTATCAGTATTATCATCATTTTCTAACACACCCACATCATTTGTTTTATCATTTAATTCTTTTTCAAATTCGTCATCTTCATATAAATTAGCATTATACAAAATAGACTGCAATTCCTTACTTCCTTTTCCAACACCATAATGTGGTAACTCATTTTTTTGCATTTGCAAGATAAAATGCCGCTAACTTTTGCATTCTTTCAATTTTTTCTAAACCAAGTCTAGTTCTACGCTTTCCATAAAACCAGCCAAAAGATGACCATATTCTCTCGCAAGAAGCAGCATAAGGAGTTATTGAAAAGAGTTTGGTAGCAAGCTGTGCAATATGATTTTGACCTTTTGGTAAAGAATCATCTATACAATACCACCATACCATAGGAGAATTATTGAATTCAAATTGTAAATCATATGGTGGATCTCTTTTTTTATATGCAGCTAGTTGTGACATTAATTCACCATGTTCTTTGCCTGATTTTGCCATTTTATCATAAAATGTATCAGCTGCTAAAAGAATACGACGAAATATACCTTGTATCCACACTTGACCTAAATAAAAATAGAAAAATATTTAATATTATAAATATAAGAATTATTAAATTATCTTTTAAATATTCCATCAATTTACCATTAATACCCGGATGTAAAAAAAAGCATAATAAATACGCATCATCATCAAATTTAATAAATCGTCGATTAAAAATTGCAATACAATTTTGTCGAAATTCTCGATGATCATTTTTTGGTAATTTTTTAATAGCTGCTCCAAATCATGCCAATCCTAAATAACAATCTGCTAAGGTGCTTGTTTGTGATTCCAAAGTAGCAATACTCTTTTTAAGTAGATGTAAAGTAAAAGCTAATATACGACAATTATCAAAAAATGCATGGCTTCGTAAAACACTTGATACTGCAGTAGAAAGCATTTCTGTATAAACTGAACGCATCTGAAATTATTATAATATTTTTAATTTAATAAAAAAATTTATTTTAATAATAAATTATTATTAATTAATATTTACAGTTTCTAAAGGAATCTGATGGCGTATTATAGATTCTACACAATCATACATTGTATGCCATCTTGTATTAACCCATTTTTTTAATCCTCCGCCTTCAACTCCTGATTCAATAGAAAGATCTTTAAGTGTTTGTCCTAAAAAAACATATATTAAATATTAAGTAAGAAATAATTTATAATTGTTATTATATAATTATAAAATATTACCTGAAAGATGGCTTGTTTTAAAATATTTAACCAATACCATACATCGACTTAAAATTCTATTAGCAAATGATGTTCTACATATATCTTTAGAAATAAGATAAATTGCGTGGGCAATGCATCTTATATTTAACATATATGGATATTTTTCAGTAATATGATAGCAAGCAAGCTTAATGTTAGCGCCGGCATCACTTACAATCGCAGAAAATTTGTTTGCTCCAATTTTATCAATTACTTCTTCAATTTGTTCAGCTAGAAAATCCGCCGTATGACAATGATCAGATAAATTCCTAAGAATCCAAAGATATTCTCGATGATCTGGAGTATGTATTACAAAATTCCAGATTGATTCATTCGCGGGATTAGACCATCCATCACATGCTAATTATATAAAGAAAATTGTTAAAAATTATAATTTATAAAAATAAATAAGGAATAACTTACATAAGGTCAAAATTTTTTGATTTGTTAAATCTTTAATTACTTGTTGATTAACTACAGCTGCTTCTTGCGCCAACAGTCTTCCAGATAAAACTTCTCTACTAGGTGGTAGATATGATGATTTTAATGTTTTTAAAAATTCAATAAAGAAAGGGTTCTCTATAATATGCCATGGAATTCCACAGATAACAAATGCTTTAACTAAAGCATGATTGGTTTGATCCTCCGTACTTTCAAACTCAGTAATTTTTTTTTGTCTAGTACCATCATATCTTTTTTTTTTTTTATGTATATTTGTTCCAGTTGAATCTTGATCGATGGTTTTAACCGCCAATTTTTGTAAAAAAAATCTCTAACTGAAGGTTCAGCTTTCTGACACTCAAAAGTTAAATGTATTTCAATTTCTTGAGGTGAACCTTTGGGCCAAATAATATGACATGAAAGACATTCTGCACGCCAACGCGAAGGACTAATTTCGTTAAGCTTCTTTGCATATTTACCCAACCAAACCAACCCGGCTTGCCTCCTTTATTTTTTGATATAGGTGGTGTTTCATTATGTGATATATCTATAGGTGGAGATTCTTCAGCAAAAGACATTTTAAAAAAAAAAAAAATACAAGAAAAACACTTGTTTCTCTCAAAGAAAAATACAAAAAACTCTTATTTCTCTTTTTTTTTAAAAAGAAAAGAAAACACGAAAAAAGCCTTCTTTTTGTATTCCTTTTTTTACGCGCTTCATTTTTATCGCACAATTACATACAATCATAAGCGTTAAAGTTTAAACGAAATGTTAAAGTAACTTTAATATTCCGGTATAAAAAATTAAATCGGCATTTATTTTGATTGGTTAACTATTTATATCACATGATCTGAGGAGTTTCGGAAGGTTTCGCCAATATCGGAAAGTTCCGCCAATATCGTTCAGTTTCGCCAATTTCGTCTTAGTTTCGGCTTATCGGAAAGTTTCGGATTTTAGTCTTTGGAAGCCGAAACATTTCGACTTCAAAATTTTGGTTTCGCCCACAACTTTAATCGTGGCAAAAATTTCCATAAATTTTCTTAAATATTCGCTTATTAAAAGGATAAATTAAAGTTTATCATGCGGACACCTCCACAAAGAAAAATATGAACATAAAAGAAAGGCTAAAGATTATTGATATATTGAGTTTTTAAAGATTGAGAGCTTATATCCGTTAAGGAATCGGGTAAATTTGGTAAGCTATTTATTTTAGAGTTATTACACTGGAGTATTTTTAAGGAATTGGGTAAAGTAGGTAGGATAGTTATTGGAGTATCAGAGCAATCAAGTATCATTAAGGAGTTGGGTAAAGTTGGTAGGATAGTTATTGGAGTATTATAGCAATAAAGTGTAGTTAAGGAGTTGGGTAAAGTTGGTAGGATAGTTATTGAAGTAAAAGAGCAATTAAGTACCGTTAAGGAGTTGGGTAAATTTGGTAGGTTTGTTATTTTATTTATTTTATTATAAGAGAAAAAACC